AAAAAAAAAAAAAAACATTATTCATCAACTTAACCAAACCCCAAAACAACCCCAACAAAGGCTACAAAACAAGAGTAACAAAAAAATAATAATAATTTAAGAATATAAAGAGAAGAACAAAATTACCTGGCCGCAAACATCTTCACATATAGCATCAGTCTTCTTCGAATTGCAATACCCATCAGACATGATTAACACCCAACAGAGATTTTCCCCAAAACCTAATCTAAAAACACTGAAAGGAAAAAAAAAGCGCTAAAAATATACTAGATTAGAAAAATGCCGAGGAAGTGGGATTGTTTCTTCCTGGTTTCTGAGAATATTCCAGAGATCTTTGGCACCCAGATCAATAAAAACCCAGACACCAAATTTTCCAGAAAAGAAATAGCCGAAGGGAAGAGAACCCCACAACTCCTCCTCCAGTGACCCTAAAATGGGTTCGTTCCCCCTGCAACGTCAATTATAGCCGTTTGGTGGTTTTCGCTCTTTCACTAGATAACTCTGCCCCCAAAATATATATAGAAAAAGAAAAATGAGTTATGCAGTACAAATTGAACCAATCTACACGACACTAATTAGTATACTCGTTTTCTTTACCCGGCCCTTATTTTGACTGTTGTTATTGTTATTTATTGGTACTAGTATTATTGTTATTATTTTGATATTAATTACATAATAAAAAATAATTTATTTTATTTTTATTGTATTACACTCTCATATAAGATGTGATTGAAATTTAAAATTTTTTATTTTTTTTAAATATTACTATATAGATATTTACTAATTAACATAAATAATGCTATTAAAAGCCCTTATTTTTATGTACCTAAATATTAATTTTTTAAAATAATATTTAAAAATATTAATTAATTAATATTAAATATTTTATTAATAAAATAAAATAAATACTTTTAAAACAATATTTTACAATTTTAATGAGTATATAATATTATTATTAATTCAAGTGGTAAATGACTTGTTTCAGCTTAAGCAAGCTCTCGAGTTTGAAACCTTGTGTACGCAGCAGTTTTTGTTGGGAGACCCACCCATCATTCTGGTGCGTCACAGTTGGTCGAATCCGGAGTAGTCGGGGCAAAACCCCGGATACCGGGCAGGAAACCAAAAAAAAAAATATTATTATTAATGTTGACATTAATATCCATTATTTGATAAGAAAAAAAAAGGTTTTCCGTTTGTAAATTTTTCTACTCTATTTTCGGATTCACACACGATTAAGATTTCTGCCTTATTTCATCCGTTTGATTAACAAAAGAAAATGTCAATATTTTAGATCGAACGGTAGAGAGTGAAATTTGTGTTAGCTTACCGTGTGGTGCGCGGGTGGGGAATGTTTCGTCGCGACAAAATGTTGACCTGGCAAGGTAGGCCGTTGCCAACGTGAACGTCTTGGTAATGTGTTTCCCAGTCAAGACCATTGAGTCCGAAGAACATTTTGTGATGGAATTACTTGTGGTTTTAGCCACATGATTAGAGTTTACCCGTGGTCTTTACGTATATATATGTTTTTCGATATCGAAAGTGATTGGTATATATTTTGATTTAATATATTTATTAAAAAGTTTATTATTTTT